ACTACGCTGACATGTTCACCAGGTACAGAGGACTACTGTCTCAGTCCCAACACTATGCTGACATGTTCACCAGGTACAGAGGACTACTGTCTCAGGAGAGGAGGAGGAAGAAGATGAAGAGGAGGATGAAGAGGATGGGGAGGAGGAAGAGGAAGAGGATGGGGAGGAGGAAGAGGATGGCGAGGATGAAGAGGAGGATAATAAGGATGTCATTGGATTCAGTTATATTAATTATTAATAAAACTTGTTTCATAGAGTAAAAGTTTAAAATGTAAATGATCTCTAACGGACTGAATAAGGCGGAGCTCTCACCTCGGACACCCGGTCCTCACGGGTCAGGATTCTGCAGGAGGAGGAGGAGATCCGCTCAGGTAGCTCCATGCCAGGCTGAAGCTCCCGCTCCCCTGTGGAGGTGTCACTCTGACCCGGGTCCTGGTCCTGTTTGAGAGCGCCGATACCCACCGGAGCATCTGGACTGCAGTCTCCGGGAGTGGTGTCCCTCCACGTGGTCTTCATCTCCCGGATGTCCAGGTGCCGGAGCACTTCGTGGAGCAGCGCGTGCAGGGCGCTGAAGTTGACCACCCCTCTCTGAGGCGTCCCGATGGCTAAATTCAACAACTCAAACAAACTGCTAATCTCCTCCGACATCTTTGTTCGTGTTTGAGAACGTAACCGTTAAGTTAACTTAAAAGTCAGTTAAAAGTCAAACTTAAACGTTGCTAACTAATTTGGCTCGTGACAACGTCCCTGTGTTGATTAAAAGTGAAAATAAAAAATAAAATATATATTTTAAATTCACTTTAGTCTTTTTTTAACGTTATTAACTCACGTTAATCGTGTCCGGTATCTAATCTCGGTGCTGTTGGTTGAGTGTAACGTTAACTGAGTTCAAGAGAAAACAGCAACCACGACTGCGTCAAAACGCACGCGTTTACCGGAAACACAGATATTGACCCTTCAAAGTAAAACTTCAATGAAGTCGAAACGGAAATTGTAAATAATTCAAATTTGAATTCTTTATATAAGTATACTCTTTAGTTTAACATTTTATACTATATTTTAGCAATGCAACTAAGCAGCCTACATTACTGTACTTAAGTACACATTTGAGGAACTTGTACTTTACTTGAGTATATTTTCACACTATTTTAAACTTCTACTTTTATCTGACAGCTTTAGTTACTTTGATTGATTTATATACTTTATAAAACATTTTACAATTATTTTAACTACCCAACAGTTTATACAAGTACAGTGGAAACGATTAGTCTATAAATTCATTAGTCGATCAACAAAAAATTAATTAGCAATTATTTTGATGGTTGGAGACATTTTCTATGTAAAACATTTCATGATTCTAGCTTCACAAATGAGAAGATTTGCCTTTTAATAGTATTATAATAATGTTAATGTATTAATAATAATATTGAGGTTTGCACTAAAACACAGTGAAGTCTCTTTGGGCTCTGGGTAATTGTTTCGTAATTTCTCACTATTTTTGCCATTTTTACGAACCAATCAATCAATCAACCAATTAATTGAAAATAATCTGCAGATTAATCCATAATAAAATTAATCATTAATTAAAAACAAATTACAGTAGAATCCAGGTTTTAGATTAATGCATGAGTCATAATAATCTAATGATAGAATATATAACAGTTACAGTTTTAAATACTTTAACTACATTTTGTGTGGTATTAGTACTTTTACTATAACAGTGTTTTTTACTGTGTGGTATTAGTACTTTTACTATAGTAAATGATCTTTATAGTTCCTACATCAATAGCCTGTTGTGAAATTCTCACACTTGTGAGGCTTTTATTTTGACGTTGTGACCGGATGTAGTATTAAGCATTGTGCTCACTTGACGTCACTTCCTTCCTCACAGACCCACGTTGGGTCCGTTGGCAGCGTTACCGGTAACTAGGCAACAAGCGGGAATCATGAAGCGGAATTTCCTGTGAACAATATTCTTATTTTATTATTTGAAAATGTTTTATTATTTAAAGTAAATGGTCCGAATGCAAACCGTCTGTTTGTTAATAAGGATAATTTAAGTTTTAATAAAACTGTTAAATTCCAGAACAAAAAACATTCATAAAATACATAAAATGTTATTTTAATATCTCAGCACAATGTATTTAAATTGTCTCTTTATTCATTGCTTTATATCTTCTATTGATTGTTTGTATTTATATGCAAGTCAAACATTATTAAAAAGGGAATTCTCATCAGATGGAAGTGAATTAAAGTCCGAATATGATTTATATATGTTTAACAAGTCAAAGCACGACTTGTTGTGAAGTGCAGTAGTGTTAAAGTGAGGTGCAGACATTCAGCGTGGAGTCAGGGTTCAGGTCTAACCTCCAGTACCGTCCTGTTAGCACAGACCCTTTCACATTAATACAGACGATGCAGTTTAGAGGCAAAACAACCAATGTTCAAAATAATATTTTATTGATAATAAAAACAAGCAAGCCAAAGTTGGGGTGACATTCTTAATGACCACATTCAAGTATAAAATCATCTTCATAGCACACAAACATTTCCCTTAAATCCAGCGTTTACATCGTGAAGCTAACCCTGAACCCAACCGCTCCATTTACAATACATGAACTAGAACAATGTGCTGGAATTCATAAGTGACACACAATAAACAGAAGAAAGGAAGCATCCACAGACCACACATGAAGCTGAGGTCGTGTTTAGCACTGTGTTGGTTTGGCATCAGATCAGTTTACAGTAGAAAGAGACGAGTCCAGCAGGCTGTCAACGTCCTCGTGAAGGAATCACATGGTGACAAAGAGAAGAGTCCAGATCTGTTGTTTACATTCATGAAGCACACAACACTACGAGGTCAAAGCCTGTTAGTGTTTCCTGTTTACGAGTCATTCGTCAAGCAGAAATAGTGAAACTATTCCATCATCCTGATTCCAGCCTCTCAAATGAGACCGTTTCATGAACAAATGATCTGCAGATTAATCGACGGTGTTGTGTGTGATGTTTGACATAACACATTGCACTCTGGGAATTGTAGGAACCAGTGTGTTTGACCCGTTTGCTGCTTCCGTGTTGATCATTCTTTCACATTACATCACCAGAGAGAACGTTATGACATCACCACCACAGTGATTATAACCTGAATGTCTGGAGCACTTCTCAGACCAACATATTATGAAGTTTATATTATAGTCGAGCTGTTTTATCTCTCTTCTGACTCAGTTCATTTGAGATAAAAACAGTCACCCACATGTAATTATGGAGAACGTTCTGGAATGCCGAGTCCTCTGGATCTCATTACAACTAAACCAATGAAACAGCCTTCAGTGTGTCACGAGGGAAACAAGGAGAGAAGAAACAGACGAGTCACCAATAAACACACATTCTTGATCGCGTTTCCCTTTTTACGGCCGTCTGGAGATGAAGGTCCGGCTGTCGGTGGTAAAAGTGAAGTGTGAGGTTGTGATCAGCTCGTGACTGAAGGGCAACGTGAGTAATTCACAACATTATAACATGTTCCTTAAATCCTAATCACGGGGAGGTTTGTGTGCATTGTGAGCTTCACAGGAGAACTTTTAAAGGATAAATCTGGAATTGTTCTACTTTTTATTGTCATCAAACTCCATGAAAAGACTAAAATCAGCAGAGTGTCTCTCATTACTGTCTGCGTCTTTAAAAAACACAAACATGTAGTTTCATCAGTAATCCCCTAAAAACAGCTGTTAAATCAAATAAACAGGAGGACTTAGTCAGGGACTATTTTCAGCAGCGGATGAATCCACATTGGGTGTTGTAGTGAGTATTAAGGAACATGTCACTGAGATGTTGGCTTTGGTCTTTTCATGGGAAATAAAATAGAATATCTCCAGACCTGTCCTTGAATTCAGCAGCTGCTCACAAATAAAAAAACAGTTTGGGTTTCTTCCCACTGGATCCAGCTGTGGGATCCAGCTGTGGGATCCAGCTGTGGGATCCAGCTGTGGGATCCAGCTGTGGGATCCAGCTGTGGGATCCAGCTGTGGGATCAGATCTCTTTATGTCAGTGTGACGGGTCGTTTCATCAAAAGTGCTTTTTTATTTCATCTTTATCCATCCCACCTCAGTAAAGTCAGTAAGTATATTCTCATAATTCGTTTTAGATTGATTTCAGACGATAAGAAGATAAGAATGAAGTAGAAGGAGGTTCATCTGTTCTTCCTCCAATCGTTTATATTTAGTTACAGATGTTTGATTCCTACAGATGTGAAAAACAAACATACCACAGAGTCAGAGATCATCATCCAGCTGTGGAGAGGGATCCTCCTCCTCCTCCTCCTCCTCCGATGCTGTCGTAGTCCGACTCCCTCCTGCTGGACTCGGCCGTCCACTCGGCCATGAAGAAGGTGACGGAGCCCATGAAGCCCGTGAGGACCAGGATGAGCAGCTGCCAGTGGAGCAGCAGGTAGTTACTGTAGAAGAAGGCCAGAGCGGCCATGATGGACTGCAGAGAGGAGAGCACGCGTTAGGAGACAACTGAGAAAGTCATACAACAACCACAGGGAAAATATGTACATATACAAATGCATATGTGTGTGTGTGTATATATATACACACACACACACACACACACACACACACACACACATATATACATATATATTCTCAGAAACAAAACTTAGATTAAAGACGGACATTTACGATATTCTACGAGATTATAAAGCTTTAATTAGTGAGAAAAACCTCAGCTATTCTCTGAGATTAAAGTCACAAATACAGGATAAGAGAAAAAAAAAAAACACCTTTTTTTTGTCATACATTTTTGATTTTATCCTCGGATAAATATCTGAGTTTTTCTGTTGAATTCATGACTTCATGATTTCAGAGAAGATTAAAGCTTTTTTTTGTAAATTAACAACTTTAAAAAGTAAGAGATTTAAAAACAACAACCAGTCAAGTTGTAGTTTACAATCCACGTCCGTCCAAAGATGTAATGACTTCATCATTTCATCCTATTAAAACATCTCACAATGGAAATATGAATTCTAGAGTTTTGGCTAAACTAGTTTGCGAGGTCATAGTGACCTTTGACCTTTGACCACGAAAATGTAATCGGTTCGTTCTTTGAGTCCAGCTGGTCGTTTCTTTAAGTGTCTGAGATATTGTTCAAGAGAATGTTACGGACGGACAACGTGGAAACAAAAACACTATTTCCCTTTTAACGGTTTGATTTCCGTCGTAGTAAACGGTTCCTCTGAGGCTGTGAGACAATAAACAAACACAAACATCTCGTCTCAAACTCACCTGAATGAACTTGAACACAGCGAAGGCCGGAGCGCTGTTATCACGGAACGTGAAGCCGATGATGCTCAGAAGCTGAGTGTTGAAGCAGCTGTCACCCAGACCCAGCAGGAAGCTGCTGAACATGGCCACGCCGATGCTGAGACACACAGTAACATATAAATATATATACACACGCGCACACACACACACACAGTAACATATACATATACACATACAGACACACACACACACACACAGTAACATATACACACAGTAACATATAAATATATACACACACACACACACACACAGTAACATATACATATACACATACAGACACACACACACACACACACACAGTAACATATACACACATACA